TGGAACGGCCACTGTAGAAATTCATTTACACTATGGGCACAAAGTCATTTTCTTAGACAAATTAAAGAAAGGCTTTGGAATGTTTGGTACTACGTAAGCCATTATTTTTCTTTTCAATTATAAAAGATTATTGAATATTTTTAATTAGATTAGTACTTGTGATATTCTTCATTACGCCTACAGGTAAACGCGTCAACTTGATATACTTGAACTATGACGAGATTACCTAGTCGGAAAACGAGGTCGAGGATTGAGGATTCGGCGACACCACATGCTACTCTAATCTGATTATCTCAACCCCCATATTTAGTAAAAATAAGAAGACGTGATATGACTTAGAACCTGTATTCTGCAAGCATCCAGAAAGTACGAGGTCCGAATCCAGAAGAGAATCAGGATCCCGGACTAGGGATCCGGGACCGAGCCCTGGTCGTGGTCATAAAACGTTACAGATAATGCATATATATACATTTTGGTCGAATCGGAAACAGCATCGTAGTCTGTGACATTGACAGTTACGACAACGACCAATAGGAAGCAACATTTGAAGTGACATTGATAGTCAGGACAACCAATAAGATGTAACATTGGAGCACGTGACACATTGATATCTAGGACGACCATAAAATTGAACAGCAGGGATTAACCAATAGGAATTGACCAATAATTCTCTTAGGTTATTGGATGAATGTCTTAACATTCTTTCATTGCACTGCTGTTACTCAGAAACATAAAACCTGCTGACGCTTCTACATATGTGATAAGGACCCTTAAACACTGGACTTACGTTTGACGAATATTTTTGAATTACCTTACTATAAGGCAAACATACTGAAGGGCTACAAATCTCATAATAACACTTATTAAATAGGATATAAGGAATATTATCATTAAATAAGTTTGGCGCTAAAAAAATTACCACATTCTTTTCTCATTTTCATGAATAATAAATTATTAGGCAACAACTTTATATACCAACGTATTCTTCAGAAGCCTTTTACAGGAGAGATATAAATCATTTGTATATTCTTGCCAAATTAATGCAATCACCATTTTATGAAAAGAATGAGAATGGATTTCTTAAATTTACTGGATTAGGTTGGATTATTGCTCATGAATTGTTACATGCAATTGATATTACAGGTGAATTATATTTACTAACTTTTTATATTGCATTAATTCAAAACAGTGGTTCCCTTTGATAAATTTGAATAGAGAAATAAGAAGACATATTTTGTGAGATAGTAGTACTGTGGTGCTGTGGTGTGAACTACTTATAAGTAGTATATAACGTGAGTGTCAACGTAAAGTCTGGTAGCATAATATGGGGGGAAGATCAAGAAAGGAAGAGTTAGAAAACAATGGAATTTGTATGAAACGCATGAATAGTGACAATGGAGTGATGTTTTGCAACAGGAACAGTCCAGTTCGATATGATGAACTGATCTTTTGCAAATGAACAATTTACGATATGGTTTTCCGATTTTACTGAGTAACTCTGTAATTTCGTTAAATACAATTCGGTTGCCCCACCTGCGTTCTCATTCACTACATTTGGTGTCGCTGCCTGCTCGAAGGAAGGGGCTCCCGTGGCCGGAGGAGTTGCAGGACGGAGCTTCCTGGAGGAGTTTGGGGCCACGGTGGAGCTGGTGGGGGCCTGAGGCGGAGTTGACGGTGCTGAGGACGCTGCGGGGAGGTAAGGCGAGGGCGGTACACGACAGCCTGGACGGTGCCACCGAGGAGACGGCGTGGGAGACGGTCACCAGGCGGCTGATATGGGAGTTCGACAGCCCAGCGGACAAGGAGGAGGCGCTGCAGAGGTTCCGGTTGGCGCGGCTGTCGGCCGATGGTGACCTGTTGGTGCTTGCTGTGGAGGTCACCGGATTGCGCCGTGAGGAGTGGGCGGGGCACAGTCTTTGGCGTCGCAATTTATCGAGTGTGTGCCTGCCGCTGTGTTCCAGCATCGGGAACTTGTGAACTCTACACGTTGGATAGATGCCGTATCCATTCCAGTGATCAAGAACGATGACCGAAGTGGTAATCCGGCATATTGTAGCGTGTCACGGAATACGGAAGGTGATATTAACTGACCAGGGACTCTGTTTTGAAGGACTACGACGACAGCTTATTAAAAGGGGGGACGAGTGTGGTGCTGTGGTGCGAACTACTTATAAGTAGTATATAACGTGAGTGTCAACGTAAAGTCTGGTAGCATAATATGGGGGGAAGATCAAGAAAGGAAGAGTTAGAAAACAATGGAATTTGTATCAAACGCATGAATAGTGACAATGGAGTGATGTTTTGCAACAGGAACAGTCCAGTTCCATAGGATGAACTGATCTTTTGCAAATGAACGATTTACGATATGGTTTTCCGATTTTACTGAGTAACTCTGTAATTTCGTTAGATACAATTCGGTTGCCCCACCTGTGTTCTCATTCACTACAGTACCATTTCGTTTTTTCTCGTCAGTCACATACAAGCAACATGTTATTTGTGTAAATACAGCAGTTTTGAAGATAAGATCAAAATTTCTTATTTAGCATGACATTCACTCACTAGAACCATGGTAAGTAAACAAAGGTCAACATACAGTTGTTTTTGAACACCACATAAAGTTGGACTTTTCCGACCAATCAAGATAGCTTCGAGTAGTTTCACTGTGTGTGGTTTTTGATTACATGTCACAACTCTAAAGGCTGATTTTGGGTCAATTTGATGACCACTCATCATTAGATGTGTTGCAATGGACGAGGCTGGGTTTCTTGATCGATTTTGAAATGATGGGCTAGGTTGATTAATCATGGATTCGATTAACCATTTTGGAATATGTTCCCCTATCCTGTCTTCCAATCGGCGATCTGTCCTCCCTAAGTAACTTTCTCCGCAGTTACATGTGAATTGGTAAATACAGTGGGATTTGGACTGAATCGGTCTTGGAGACTTGATTGGGGTAACTGAGATCGATTGGGTTGTTGTGATAAGCCTCAGATTAGCTGCATTGAAGGTCTTTTTTATTGCAGCTGCAGTCTGTTTGGTTGTAATTTTCATGCAGTGATCACCTTTGAAAGGTACACTGGTTTCTTGGGCACATCATGTTGCTTGTAAGTGACTGACGAGAAAGCACGAAATGGTACTATCTCACAAAATATGTCTTCTTATTTCTCTATTCAAATATTGCATTAATATATAGTATTTCAACTCGTTTTTTTAAATTTTGATAGAACAGTGAGAAGACGTAATTGATCTGAAAAATGTTGTGATGTATTTGCGCCACATACATTTCGAACAATCTGGTCACACACATGCATACTTGTCAAGGCATTTTATATGAAGATGAATAAAAGGTCAATTAAATAAAAGTTCAAATAGACATAAGGTGATAATTGTAAATAAAGGAGAGAGAGAAAATTAACGTAATATGAAAAGAATAAGAAAGGGTAGGAAAATTGTCACATTATCCTAGGCTTAAAGATTACCAAGGTAAATTCAAGGTTATGACAAATTGTTTCTGCACACATAAAGGGAGTTTTAATTTTCTAATAGCCAAGGCCTCCATAAATCTCAAAATTTGTCCTTCAACATTTCTATACAATGTTTTGAAGGCTGTCTTGATGTCAATTTTATGCGCTCTTTCTTAATTATGTGTTTGGCGATCGATGAACATGGTTTTCTATTCGTTTTTTAAACTTTTAACAGGGTTTTTTTTAAAATAACCACAGCGATTTTTAAAAATTTTTAAAAAAAAATAAAATAAGAACTATTTTTAATTAAAATCTTCTTTAGCAATCACTTTTATAAACAATTGCGACGTACGTGTCTTGAATAACCTTGTAAATCATCCCTGGTTAATTGATTTACAGAATTTAGTATTAGATTTATATATATATATATATATATATATATATATATATATATATATATATATATATATATATATATATATATATATAAAAGATTCGTTGGATCCACTCGCCAGAGATCTTCTTACAATGGATTTAATTTTCGAAAACGCCAATTCGATTGGGTTAAGCATGTAACTATAGGGAGACAAAAACATAATGTTTACTCCGTTTTCATTAAAAAAGTTTTTTGTGATAATTGAATGATGAATCCTCGCATTATCAAGTATAAAAATTATATACAATTCTTAAAAATTGATTTTTGATTGCATTTTTCAATTAGTTGATCAAAAAACTGAATGAACTTATCTGAATTCACCGAATCAACAAATGTTTTAGCAAAGAGAACTTCATTTTCTGTTATAGCCGATATGTTAAACTTATATTGGTTCCACGCGTTGATGGAACTAGGGCACTTGCCGATTTTCCTCTGGTATATAGATCTACCCAAGGTTCTTCTTAAGTACAAATTAAAAGAAGATTCATCTATAAAAACTTTTATAAATATATCTTCAATGTTCATAAAATGTTGAGCATAAATTTGGCGTTTGTTTTTACTAAGGATTCCGAATTTATATTGACCGATGTATAAGAAATTTTTTTCAAAGTAATCTGAAGTCTATAAATTATCCTTCTTATAGATTCAAGAGAAAGGCCTATAGAAAATATGTTTTCGATTTTTTCTCGAATTTCTACCATCGTTATTAACGGGTTTAATTCTATCAATTCTTCAACAAAATTGATTATATCACCGCATATCTTCTTATTTGATGGTTTTCCTGTTTTTTTCTTCTCAACTCGCGATTCCTTTTTATACAACCTTATAATATTTATAGCGGCCTGATAGTTTACATCTGTAAGAAATGCCGCATCCTGTATCCATCTTCAATAACTTTTTTTTATAAGGCTTTTTCTTTTTTCATTCGAAATCAAGTTGTTTTTTCTATTTATTTCTGACATTCTAAGGATTACAAAAAATTTTAAAAAACGCTGTGAAAATTTTAAAAAATTTTTTGGTTATTTTAAAAAACCCTGTTAAAAGTTTAAAAAACGAGTTGAAATACTATATATTTTGATGAATTAGATGTGTCCTCCCTCACTGAATGAATTTATCTGGTTGAAATTCGATAATTTCTTGATAGCTGTCTTCTCTCTTAAATGTAATAGGTGGATTACCAAATCTTTGAAAGTGAATAAATTCATTATTGATTTTATCACTTCACGTGTTACTGTTCGTAGGCTTCTCAATTGACATGTGCTTCCACATGCAAAAATCATCTCCCACTGAAGTCATCAAATAATAGGACATTGTCCTTGAAAGTCGGCTAATGCACGTGTCAAAATTTCCAACTATATACAAATAATGTGACTGTTAGCCTAAAAGTAATTTTTATCTGGTGTCATTCAACGATATAGTGTGTGATTAAATATCTAACATGACATAATACATATCCCTTTCATATTTGTATATCATACATTGTTTGTGACAATAATATTAGGTGTTCTCACTGACGGAAATGCGAATCCACGATTAAGCCAAAATTCTCAGGCAGGACTCATTGCAAACATGAAGCAAACAGACTGTTTACGTTCTCATTATCAATTTAATTCTGATTCATATGGAAAGGTTAGTTATTTCTAAACAATAAACTGTAAACCATTATGTTCTTTGATGTTATATGAATACACAACTCGACGCACCAATAATAGATATCAGTTTCAGAGTGAAACAATAAAATGAGTTGATTACTCATGGTGATTTACTTCGCGAAATCTCCAATTCGTTCACCTTCATCTAAATTTCTGAGCATTACAGTCAAAGATTGCCTCAAATACGTCACCCATTTTGAATAATGATATCAATTCGATTAGGTTCCTGAGATACACAACAAAAATTCGCCTTTGTCTTTTGCCTGCATTCAACAATAGCTGATGTAGGGAATCGATCAAATTAGCTAGTACTGAACGTGGTATTTTGTGTTAATTTGCCCCAATACACAAGTTCATCAAAGTCCCTCGAACATTCAGAAATGCGACTTCCAAGGTTGTTTGTCTTTTCCTGAAAGTACACCGAATGTCTAAATAGAAATAAAGTTTCAGCACTCTGAAAAGTCAAATCGTCTTCCATATAGATATTTAACAAAGTAGTTCACAATTTTCAGACATTACCAATCAGTAGTGATGAACGCTATTCGAATATACCTGTGACTGAGGAAAATAGTTTCACCGAACGGAACAATGAACAATGTTATGTTCAATGGTCACTTTCGTTAAGTGCGGAATTAGATGATTGAAACAAAGACCATTCATTCAGTTCAATGTTTGGTGTTATGAAGAAAGGTTCTATTCAGTATGTACATTTGACATCGATCCATGTATCATGAACGCAAATAATTCGACATTCCTAAAGCGATCTGCTTGACTGTTTTATAAAGTTCACAGACGAAAAAGAAAATTTGTCCAGTAGAGTAATTTTTCACTTACAATGACTGGTTTTTATGATCTTTGGAGAATTTATTGATAATTCAGCTGGCAATTAGAACAAAACAAAATAATCATTTCAATTTGTCAGAATTATTGATTATTAATCTCTATTTTCTTCAAATCATTATATTTAGTGCGACAGGATTACAACACAAGATGAAATTTTGACTGATAATGGAGGATTGAAAATAATGTACGATGTAAGTGAACAAACTTATCAACCAATTTTATTCTTTATATAATAATATTCTATGAAATGTATTGTGAATAAGTGAGATTTCATTGTGTGTGACCATACACAGTACAATTGAGAACGAATTCTCAATATGGCAGGTAGATAATTGAGATCAACAGAAATCTTGTAAGGAATTATTAGCTTCAAAAGGAGAAAGTGAATGCGGCTTAGCATTCCGTTTGAAATCAGAAGTAATGATCTCTTTTGAAATCATCAATCAATCAATGTTAGACCAACATTTGAAACCTGGAAGCATTGGACGGTCGTTTTGTCCTGGTATGGGACTCATCAGCAGTGTGCATCCACGACTCCTGCATCTCGCAGGATTCGAACCCAAGACCTTTAGTATTGTGCGTGAACGCCTAACCATTGGACCACTGGGCCGGCATCCAACGGTTTTAATGTCTAACCCTGATTGATCCAGGGATTTCGCGCGACTTCACCCATTTGTCTTCGGTAGTTACTGCTTACACCCAACAGGTTTGAACTCTACTGGTCACGTGTTCTCACTTGAACTCCGAGAATTTCTCCGCGAAACAAGTCACTCGTGAGCATATTTTACGATATTTTCAATTAGAGTTATTGAGATTAGTGTTTTTTTTACACATTTGAAATTATCAATCAATCATCGTTAGATCACAATTAGAAACCTGGAAGCACTGGACGGCCGTTTCATCCTGGAATGAAACTCATCATCAGTGCTTCCAGGTTTCAAATGGTGGTCTTACAATGTTTGATTTATGATTTCAAATGTGTAAATACACTAATCTCCAGAACTCTAATTGAAAAAGACCTCTTTTGTCTGTTGAATTGTAGACAAATTACCAACATCAGTCAGTTAATTAGTTTGATTAGTTGTAATACAGTATCATCGGAGTCTTATCGCCTTGATCGTTTCAGGGATAATTTTACAGATCAAGTTAACAGTCAGATTTCTAAAAATTTTGAACAACCATTGCAACGAACACCATCTAAATGACTAACAGAATATTGACTTCGCCTTAAAATTTAACGTTAATTACTCGTCAGTATCTCACAATCATCACAGTAAGCATGAATGAAACATATTACTTATGACTATTTCAATTACTTTTTAGACATACCGCAGAGTGTTAACTAGACAACAAATTCAAAATGCAAGTGAAATCATATCATCTGATCGATTGTTTTTCTTGAAATTTGCACAGGTAAGTTGATAAAAACAGTCTTATTCGTGTACACTAATTGAAGTCGAAAGTATTAAATGATAATTTCACAGATGGTCTCTATGAAAAATATCTGACCTTTGGAACAATAAACAAAGAAGTCAAAACTAGCTTGTGGCGATAGCTGCAAACGTTCTAAATCACCGCTGGTCAGACTGTAGTGAACGAGAACACAGTTGGGGCAACCGGATTGTATTTGACGAAAATTACAGCGTTACTCAGTAAAATAGGAAAACCATATCGTAAATTGTTAATTTGCAAAATATCAGTCCATCATATCGAACTGGACTGTTCCTGTGGAAAAACATCAATCCATTGTCACTCACTATTCATGCGTTTCATACAAATTCCATTGTGTTCTAACTCTTCCTTTCTTGATCTTTCCCCATCTTCTGCTTCCAGACATTACGTTTACACTCACGTCATATACTACTTATAAGTAGCGCGCACCACAGATGTATTTCAAACACCTCCATTCAATAAGTGCTTTGAACTCTACTACTGAAATCATAAGTCGATCAGTGTGAACCCATCAGTAGAAACCTGAAATCACTGGACGGCCATTTCATCCTAGCATCAAACACATCAGTTGTGCGAATCCGCGACCAAACAAACAGTATCTGGACCCAGAACCTTCACTCTCGCATGCTAACGCTTAACTCCTGGACCATTGAGAAGGCATCCAACAGTGTGGCTAAACTCCACTGGTC